GGTTCATTGGTTGCTATGCAGTTGTTAGGACAATGATAGGACAGTCCTTATTGGTAAAAGTCAAAAGAGCGCACTCCCAAGTATGATATTCCCTAGATAGTGCTCAAAGTCCTTCCTTCAAACTAAGTCTTGAATGTTTTATCATCCTCCAGGTGGAAATCACAGCGGTGCCTTGGCAAGAACCACTAATTACTGTTTGCGAGTGGATCAGGGGTGTCTATGCACTGTGTTTGATGAATGCATCAACCCATACCATATTACGCCTATTTCCATAATGCATGCATTTTGCAGGTTTTCGACAAATATCTATTAAGCACACACTTAACAAATGGCATTAGAAATAGAATGTGAAATACACTTTTATACATGACAAAGCATCCAAATATTGAACCATTGGTGTTGTGTCTCTTTCAGACAAACATATCACATACACAGTTGGTTGTGTAACACTTCTATTCATGTCTTAGTTGATAAGAAAGTGTTATAAACAGATTTACTAGCTAGTCAAACACGTATGAGTGGGGACACTTGTCAGGGTGATTGAATTCAGAGCACAATAAGCACATTTATGGGAAAAATATGCATAAGGCATCCAGTGCCAACTTTGCAAGGACCCTCATATTTGTGTGTTTTTAACTTGGTACAGATACTTGAGCGATGATGACACGTCTCTAAGTACAAGTTTCTAAGGAGAGATCCGAAAGCAGAGCTTTTTATGTCCTGTTGGGACTAGTTTGATAAATGATCCGCTTCGTTGAGAGAAGATCGTTTTGTCCTCCTCATCCTCTGTCTTCAGATCGCAGCACAAACATCAGCTGCTGGATGCCAGGTTTTACATTTTGAGGCTCTTTTGTTGCTCTTTTTCCTGTCGTGACCCCTGAGTGTGTGTCGCCTGAGGCTGCTGGAGAAGGTCACTTTAGTTCTTGTAATTGCAACTTCATTTGTCATGTTGCCAATTTTTCTCGTAATTGCAACTTTTTTTTCCTAGTGATTTATTTCTCGTAATGTTGACTACATTTCTTTTAATTGTGACTATTTTTCTCGTAATTGTTACTATTACTTGTAATTGCAGTTTTATTTCTAGTAATTGTGACTATATTTCTTGTATTTGCAACTATATTTCTTTTAATTGTGAGTGACTGTATTTCTCGTAATTGTCAGTATTTCTTGTAATTGTAACTATATTTCTTGTAATTGGGACTTTCTTGTAATTGCATCTTTATTTCTCATAATTGCTACCATTTCTTTTAATTGCAACAATTTTCTTTGTAATCGTGACTAAATTTTTCGTAATTGCGACTTTACTTCTCGAAATTGCAACTTTTTTTTAATTGCAACTATATTTCTCTAGCCTGACTTCGTCATACTCATATTCTAGTCAGAATGTGAGTCTGATACTGCTCCATAGGGCTTTGATTATGAGGCGTGTCTTAACCGAACCAGGAAAAAAAAAAACTCTGCACTCAATTGGATAGACCTACAACCAATGAGAGCAACGCAGTAAGTCAACTACTTTGCATAGCACAGTTGTCAACTACAGAACTCAAATGCACGCACGCTGGAAGAAGTAAAATAACGAGTGTTGCTTCTTTTACTTGGCCCTCTATGAGTGCGACCAAAGGAGAAACCACAACGACCACAGGGTTTTCATTGCGTCCCATCTTCTTGGTTACCATCGGAGCCAGCTGATAAATTAAACTTTTGCCGACTCCCATAGGAAGGACGGCAAACACATCTTTCCGATCGACAAATGCCTTGATTGCAGTTCTATGTTCGTCTTTTAAAATGAATGCGCTGTCGATTTCTTTTACAACAGACGCGATAGCGGAAATCTCTACATCTCAGTTCTCCAGCGGCAGTCATCTCTGAGGGAAACCAGTTCAACCCAAGCGCTCTTTGATAACGTGAGGATTACGTCCCTGCAGATCATCTGTCCATCATCGTATAAAGCCCGCCCTGCCAATTTGATTGGCCCGACGATTTCTGAACCGATCATAATTACTCCTCAATGGATCGAGTCCAGACCGAACTTCCCGATCAAAAAATGTTGTGGGCGGGGTTCGGGCTGGCATCCAGGCTAATATTTACTTAATTACGACTTTATTTCTTGAAATTGCGACTTTTAATTGCAACTATATTTCTCATAATTGTGACTCTATTTCTCGTAATTGCGACTTTATTTCTTGAAATTGCAACTTTCTTTTAATTGCAACTATTTCTTGTAATTGCGACTTTATTTCTTGAAACTGCAATTTTCTTTTAATTGCAACTATATTTCTCGTAATTGCGACTTTATTTCTTGAAATTGCGACTTTTAATTGCAACTATATTTCTCGTAATTGTGACTATTTCTTGTAATTGTGACTATATTTCTCGTAATTGCGACTTTATTTCTTGAAATTGCGACTTTTAATTGCAACTATATTTATCATAATTGTGACTATATTTCTTGTAATTGAGACTATATTTCTCGTAATTGCGACTTTATTTCTTGAAATTGCAACTTTCTTTTAATTGCAACTATTTCTCGTAATTGCGACTTTATTTCTCGAAACTGCAACTTTTAATTGCAACTATATTTCTCGTAATTGCGACTTTATTTCTTGAAATTGCGACTTTTAATTACAACTATATTTCTCATAATTGCGACTTTATTTCTCGTAATTGCAACTTTATTTCTTGAAATTGCGACTTTTAATTGCAACTATATTTCTCATAATTGTGACTATATTTCTCATAATTGTGACTATATTTCTTGTAATTGTGACTATATTTCTCGTAATTGCGACTATTTCTTGAAATTGCGACTTTTAATTGCAACTATTATTTCTCGAAATTACGACTTTATTTCTTGAAATTGTGACTTTCTTTTAATTGCAACTATATTTCTCGTAATTGCATCTTTATTTCTTGTAATTGTCACTATTTCTCGTAATTGCATCTATTTCTCGTAATTGCGACTACATTTCTAATAATTGCAACTATATTTCTCATAATTACGGTTACTTCTCGTAATTATGGCTATATTTCTCATAATTGCGACTTTTTCTCATAATTGGAACTTTTTTTAATTGCAACTTTATATTTCGTAATTGCTACGTAATTTCTCATAATTGCACCTATTTTTAAAAATTGCAAAAGTTTATCTTGCAAATATGACTTCTCATAATTGTGACAATTACGAAAAATAAAGTTGCCTTTGAGAAATAGTGACTTTCATTTTAAATTTTATTGTAAATAATTTGTTCACGAGAGCTGTAGTCAGGATCCTGCGGCAAGCTTCTCCTGCTTCTAGAAGCCAGTCTTCAGGTCACAGGACGACTGTGACAGCTCCGCTGCTGCTTTACACTCTGAGCCTCTTCTGTTGCTGTCATCCCCCTGTGGAGTTGTTCCCTGAGGCTGAATGTGTGAGACTCATCATTGCCTCTCGTTTTCTCGGTCTGCAGGAGCAGGAGAGCCTCCAGCGGGCCGAGCGGTGCTGTGAGCGTCTGGAGGAGCTGGAGAACACACTGGCTTCAGTGCAGAAGCAGGTACGGCTGAGGAGGCTCACACACTCGGGCTGACACGCGTCTGACCCCTGCTCTCACTTACCAGGCTTTTCCACTGTGCTAAATCATGCATCATTAGTAGTCTGGAGAATATCATTGTAATCTTTTATGCTTCATGTTTTGGAGCTGATGTGCTACACTTTGCTTGTTGGAACTTGGGACTAATCTAGATTTTAACTGCAGATAATAAGGAATCATTTATTTTCTTTAAAACTCGTAAGTATGCATTTGGAAACATCATGGAAACTTTAAGGATTACAATTTTTGTTCTTACAATTAGGGCTTTATTTCTCATTGTTGCAACTATACTTTTAATATCGAGACTTTGTCTTGTGATTGACTTTATTTCTTGTAATTGGTTTGTCACTGTTAGAACTATTTTTCATAATTGCAAATGTTTATCTTACATATATGACTTCTAATTGTGACCATTTTGAATGAATGCAGCTTCATTTCGTGTAATTGAAATTTTATATTTTGTAATTGTAATTTCTCGTGATTGCAACTTTGTCTCGTAGTTGCGACTATATATTTCTCACCATTTAACTATATTTCTCAGAATTGCAACTATATTTCTCAGAATTGCGACTTTGTCACAGTTGCAACTTTTTCATAACTGCTCAGATTTTTATCTTACAAATGTGACTTCTAACTAACTATTTCTTAAACTATTTTTTATTTGTTATTGTGTCTTTATATCTTGTAATTACAACTTTATTCCTCATTATTCAGACTGTCTTTCGCTTTATCTTACAATTCACATTTGAGATTTGGCGTAATATTACCTGCGGTGAGGGTTGTTCTGATCCTTTAGTAGGTGTTTGTAGGACATATAGATGTGTACGATCCTGGCGGTGACGGCAACACAAGCCCAGACCTGTACAGCTCGTCTGCTCTTTTACTCTTCAAGTGAAAACAGTTTGTAGTCCATGTGTTGCCATAGCAAAACTGTGGCGGACTTCACGTGTGACCTCAACTCAAACACAAATAGCTAAATTAAGAGCATGACATTCAGCTTTCATAGTTTCTAAATTGAAAACAAAACCCTTGAAATGTTCAAAAACATAAGTAGTTCCTTAGGCATTGTGACATGATCATCATAATTGTTACCTTGACTGCACTTCATAAAGCAGAGCTGACTTCTAATTCAAGCTAGGTGTGCAACCTTTCAATTACAGCTCGCAGGCCATCATTCTTCCAATTCTGATTGTGTCTCATCTCTTAACAATTTACAGTAACTGCAGATGTTTGGAGTGGAGATATTCATCTGCTCATACTTCTCGTTTATGTCTGTTTGAGTTCAGAGGGAAGTGAAATGACAGCTGTGTATCAGGATGAAAGTATTCGAGGAGCTTCTCTACCCTTCTGCTCTACATCTGCTTCTCAAAGCTCCGACACACACACACACACACACACACACACACACACACACTCGTCCTCTATTAGTCCCTCATGTCGTTCTTGAAACAAATCACATCTGCCACATACAAAGTCAGTGTGAGCCTTTTCTTTTTTTGATGAAATTGCAACTTTTGTGATTGCAACTTTTCATATTGAGACTTTATTTCTTGTAATTGCGACTTTATTTCTCGTAATTGTGAGTTTATTTCTCATAATTGCGACTTTATTTCTCACAATTATGACAATTTCTGGTAATTGTGGTTTTATTTCTTGTAGTTGCGACTATTTCTTGTAATTGTGTGACTTTATTTAGTGTAATTGTTTCTTTTACTCATAATTGTGACTTTCTTATGATTGATTTCATTTCTTGTAATTGTGACTATTTCGCGATGACAACGTTGTCTCGTATTTGCGACTATTTCTTGTAATTGCAGCTATTTCTAATAACTGTTGACTTTCTAATAATTGAGACTTTATTTCTAGTTATTGCTACTATATCTCGTAATTTTGACTTTATTTCTCATATTAGGACTTTATTGCTCAATTTCTTTAATTGTGACTTTATTACTCGGAATTGTGATTTTATTACTCGTAATTGCGATTTTCTTGCTCGTAATTGTGACTATTACTCATAATTGCGACTTTATTACTCGTAATTGTGACTTTATTACTCGTAATTGTGATTTTATTACTCGTAATTGCGACTTTATTACTCGTAATTGTGACTTTATTACTCGTAATTGTGACTTTATTACTCGTAATTGTGACTTTTTATTACTCGTAATTGTGACTTTATTACTCGTAATTGTGATTTTATTACTCGTAATTGTGACTTTATTACTCGTAATTGCGACTTTATTACTCGTAATTGCGACTTTATTACTCGTAATTGCGACTTTATTACTCGTAATTGTGACTTTATTACTCGTAATTGCGACTTTATTACTCGTAATTGCGACTTTATTACTCGTAATTGTGACTTTATTACTCGTAATTGTGACTTTATTACTCGTAATTGTGACATTATTACTCGTAATTGCGACTTTATTACTTGTAATTGTGACTTTATTACTCGTAATTGCGACTTTATTACTCGTAATTGCGACTTTATTACTCGTAATTGTGACTTTATTACTCGTAATTGTGACTTTATTACTCGTAATTGTGACATTATTACTCGTAATTGCGACTTTATTACTTGTAATTGTGACTTTATTACTCGTAATTGCGACTTTATTACTCGTAATTGCGACTTTATTACTCGTAATTGTGACTTTATTACCCGTAATTGTGACTTTATTACTCGTAACTGCGACTTTATTACTCGTAATTGTGACTTTATTACTCGTAATTGCAACTTTATTACTCGTAAGTGACTTTATTACTCGTAAGTGACTTTATTACTCGTAATTGTGAGTGACTTTATTACTCGTAATTGTGACTTTAATTCCCATAATCGCGAATTTATTTCTCATATTACAAATGTATTTCTCTCATTGCAACTTAATTGTAACTTGGTTACAGTTGCAAGGATTTCTCCTACCTGCACATGTTTCTGTTACACATGCCGTTTCTCCACCTGTCTGTAGTCCTCAGACGCTGCGGTGAGGAAGCTCTCCGAGGACCTCGCCCAGAAGAGCGACCGGCTTCAGACGCTGCAGAAAGAGAAGGAGCACCTGGTGGAGTTGAGCCAGGTGTGTGTCGTGGGATTGCGTTCTCTGTTAATGAGCAGTGTGAACAGTAGCAGTGTGTCCCACTGGGGACGCTCCGACAGATGTCGGACAGTTTCAGGGATGCAGTGGTGTGAAGGTCAGTCATGAGGCACAGGGTCCGCATGGGACAGACGCATCTGGAAGACAAGTTGGGGGTCGTTAACGGGTTAGCGTTCACTTCCCTCTGGCACAACAAGTCGTTTCCTACTTTAATCTGGAAAGTAACTTAGAGAGTTCAGGTCACTGCTGTGATTATTTCTTAAATAATGAAAAATATTTCCTGCAAAATGGTTTATAATGAGTTGCAGCTGTGAACTGCTCTGAGATTACTGATCAAAACACAGTGCATGGCTCGAATACGGCATTCTAGTAATAGAAACGGATTTACATGTCATAAAATCGATGAATTATTCATGTATTTTTGATGATAATTCCGAACAAATGTTCCTAAGTACTTCAGAAGTAATATGTCTTCATGCATCCGGTTCTATGAATATGCAAATGAGCCCCGCCTCCACTCACTCACTCAGCTCAGAGATCCACTGGTTGACGATCACACGTTGATCTGATTGGTTACAAGGTCGTTTGTGACGTCAGAAACACCAGCGATTTCAAACCGTGTTTTTGAGACTGTCTTTGGTTCACTGCAGTTTTAAGCAGAAAATACTCAGCAATGCTGTCGAGAATGAAACGAAAGGATAATGCAATGAAACATTACAAATTCTGCTAATAATTGTCGTCAGATAAATACCTTGTATACAGTATTTGTGTTCATGTTGATGCAGAGCACCGCTTGGAAGGTCAAGAAGTGTCTTTTTCTCTTCTCTCGATCTCTTTTGTGCTCTATAAAACTCTACGAGCGGTGTTGAGCAACGTAAGCCAGATGTCTAACAGTAGCAGCTCATCTGTGTGATTTATGACCCGTGGTTTTACCTTCTCAACCCAGTTGCCAGAGTTGTCAGATGGTTATTTGAGCTCTTCATTCAAGGAGTCAAAGCCCAGAGTGTTGGGTTGGTGCGGTGTGGTTTGCACTTTTGTTTGCTTTGCTTTGCTTTAGACAGGAATGAATGTGCCTTTCAGGGTCTGATTTGATTAAGACATCATGCTTCCTCTGACATCTTGTGTGATCGAGCGAATGAAAGCATCCTGGTCAGATTTATGCCACATCTGCTCGACAGACTCATAAGATTCTCTGTTTTATCTTTGCAGCAGGCCATCGAGGACTTGCAGTGCGAGGAAGAGAAGGTGAACCTCTTGACCAAAGAGAAAGCCAAGCTAAAGCTCCAGGCGGAAGATGTGAGTGTGTGTCTGCGGTCCAGAACAGTGTTGGGGAAAGTTACTTTGAGAAGTAATGCATTACAATATTGCGTTACTCCCTTAAAAAGTAACTAATTGCGTGACTTAGTTACTTTATTAGAAAAGTAATGCATTACAATATTGCGTTACTTCCTTAAAAAGTAACTAATTACGTGACTTAGTTACTTTATTAGAAAAGTAATGCATTACAATATTGCTTTACTCCCTTAAAAAGTTACTTTATTAGAAAAGTAATGCATTACAATATTGCTTTACTCCCTTAAAAAGTAACTAATTGCGTGACTTAGTTACTTTTTTATTAAGTAATGCATTACATTATTGCGTTACTTCCTTAAAGTAACTAATTGCGTGACTTAGTTACTTTATTAGAAAAGTAATGCATTACAATATTGCGTTACTCCCTTAAAAAGTAACTAATTGCGTGACTTAGTTACTTTATTAGAAAAGTAATGCATTACATTATTGCGTTACTTCCTTAAAAATTAACTAATTGCGTGACTTAGTTGCTTTATTAGAAAAGTAATGCATTACATTATTGCGTTACTCCCTTAAAAAGTAACTAATTGCGTGACTTAGTTACTTTATTAGAAAAGTAATGCATTACAATATTGCGTTACTTCCTTAAAAAGTAACTTATTGCGTGACTTAGTTACTTTATTAGAAAAGTAATGCATTACATTATTGCGTTACTTCCTTAAAAAGTAACTAATTGCGAGACTTGGTTAGTTTTTTAGAAAAGTAATGCATTACAATATTGCGTTACAGTAACTAATTGCGTGACTTAGTTACTTTATTAGAAAAGTAATGGATTACATTATTGCGTTACTTCCTTAAAAAGTAACTAATTGCGTGACTTAGTTACTTTTTTATTAAGTAATGCATTACATTATTGCGTTACTTCCTTAAAAAGTAACTAATTGCGTGACTTAGTTACTTTTTTATTAAGTAATGCATTACATTATTGCGTTACTTCCTTAAAAAGTAACTAATTGCGTGACTTAGTTACTTTATTAGAAAAGTAATGCATTACATTATTGCGTTACTTCCTTAAAAAGTAACTAATTGCGTGACTTAGTTACTTTATTAGAAAAGTAATGCATTACATTATTGCGTTACTTCCTTAAAAAGTAACTAATTGCGTGACTTAGTTACTTTATTAGAAAAGTAATGCATTACATTATTGCGTTACTTCCTTAAAAAGTAACTAATTGCGTGACTTAGTTACTTTATTAGAAAAGTAATGCATTACAATATTGCTTTACTCCCTTAAAAAGTAACTAATTGCGTGACTTAGTTACTTTATTAGAAAAGTAATGCATTACATTATTGCGTTACTCCCTTAAAAAGTTACTTTATTAGAAAAGTAATGCATTACATTATTGCGTTACTCCCTTAAAAAGTAACTAATTGCGTGACTTAGTTACTTTATTAGAAAAGTAATGCATTACATTATTGCGTTACTTCCTTAAAAAGTAACTAATTGCGTGACTTAGTTACTTTATTAGAAAAGTAATGCATTACATTATTGCGTTACTTCCTTAAAAAGTAACTAATTGCGTGACTTAGTTACTTTATTAGAAAAGTAATGCATTACATTATTGCGTTACTTCCTTAAAAAGTAACTAATTGCGTGACTTAGTTACTTTATTAGAAAAGTAATGCATTACAATATTGCGTTACTCCCTTAAAAAGTAACTAATTGCGTGGCTTAGTTACTTTATTAGAAAAGTAATGCATTACATTATTGCGTTACTCCTTTAAAAAGTAACTAATTGCGAGACTTAGTTACTTTATTAGAAAAGTAATGCATTACATTATTGCGTTACTCCCTTAAAAAGTAACTAATTGCGAGACTTAGTTACTTTATTAGAAAAGTAATGCATTACAATATTGCGTTACTCCCTTAAAAAGTAACTAATTGCGTGACTTAGTTACTTTATTAGAAAAGTAATGCATTACAATATTGCATTACTCCCTTAAAAAGTAACTAATTGCGTGACTTAGTTACTTTATTAGAAAAGTAATGCATTACAATATTGCGTTACTTCCTTAAAAAGTATCTAATTGCAAGACTTAGTTACTTTATTAGAAAAGTAATGCATTACAATACATTACGACACAAGACATGTAAAATGATGCCTTGACGGACAGTATACAAAAATCCGTCAGCGGTTGTGGGCGGAGCATGAGCAATATGACATCATATTGCTGAGAAAATCCAAATGGCTTGATTATTGAGAGTGTTTAGACTTTTTGAGGATTAATAAAAAGGAGTGAATGGATTTTTTCCATTGTGTGGTGGTTGTGTCCAAACACTGCACACACACATTTATATGCAAACACCATATAAAAGTGCATTTTGCATACGATGACCCCTTTAAGCGTTTTCTTTTAATGGTTTTCTATGGGAGGGAAATGTTTAACGTGTAATTAAACGCATTGCGTTCGTATTCTGGGTTCTTTGTTTTTTTTCTGTACATGGTATACTTTATTAGTATGATGTTTACCGAGTTTGGTCTTTTAATAACACTGTGTTATTACAGTAAGCCAAGTAGTCTACACACGTTAAGTGTTTTAGAAAGTCCCGTGTGTGATACAGTAGTGCTTTGAAAGGTGATGCCGGAGCCCCGGGTTCATCTCTGTGATTGGTCCTGTAGCTGGAGGATCTCCTGGAGCAGGAGCGTAGACTCCGGGCGGATCTGGAGAAGAGCAGGAGGAGGCTGGAGGGAGACGGCAGGAACGGCATGGAAAACCTGAGCGAGATCGGCAAGATGAGGGCCAGTCTGGAGGAGATGATCAGGAGGTGTGTGTCAAACACTGAGGAGAACTTCACTGCATATTTCACAGATAAATCAATTATACGGATGCACCGACTCTTTGAATTACATTTTTGGCTGATACCGATAACCGATAATTCTTTATCTGAAAGCCGATAACCGATATATTGGCCGATAAATCTAAACCCAAATTTTGATATAATTTTTGAGAGCCTGATTACAAAAACAAAAGTCTCATCATGTCCCAATCACACAATTATAATGATGTTCTCATGATAATGTTATGTAGCCGATATGACTATATGTTGCACTTTAACTCTATTTTCCTTTTCCGAGTGATTCCACTCATATTTCAAGCAATTCAAACCCATCATGTTGAACAGTGCGCATCTGAAGCGTCTCAGCTGAAGGACATAATACATTATTTATCAGCTTTAATATATCAGACAAATGTTCTCATCAGACCGATAATGATAACAATAAAAATATACTGATAAAAATATAAATAACATGTATCAGCCGATACCGATATGGTGGCTGATATATCATTGAAGAATTTCGGGAATCCCTGAACTTGTCAATGGAGAATAAACGTCCATATATTAACGCGTTGAAGCGAATGATCCGGTCCTGAGGTGTTTGCTGTCTCGAGAGTTTGAAAGATGAAGCCGATCTCTCAGTGAGACAGATGTTTGGATGGCTGTTGTCTAGAACATGATCTGAGCTTGAGGAGATCTCGCCGCCGGCTCCTGAAGCTGTTCAGGCTTGTCAGTTTGCAGAGCGGGTCTATCCTGAAGAAATCAGAACCAGCTGTTTCATGCAGGCCCGAGGAGAAGAAAAGAGGACATTGTTATAAATATCCCTTCTTTCCTTCCTTCTGATTTTAATATTTAAAGTAATGACGGGTTAAAAGCAGAGACCGTATGATCCTAACTTCTCGATATAGTGGCTGTAGGAATAGAAGCCGATCAGCTTTCTCATAGAGGCATCGCCTGTTTGGTTATGGTTGATTTGATGAAATATGATATTGAAAATCAATCTTGGCCAACACTTAAAACTTCAAAAAGTCTTTCTCCACTCAAGTAGATCCTGGAAACCTCTTTACACCTATAAAAAAAGGTAATTGTGATTATTTCTCACAGTTTCCATTTCATATCTCACTTTGTCACTTTATTTTTATCAAGTTATTTCATAACTGTGATGTAATATCTGACTTCATCACTTCATATCTCCCAATTACTTGCCACAGTTTAGCTTTTCTATCTGACTGTATGACTTCTTTTTTATTAAATTTTTGATCTCAATAGCCTGGTTTCCATTACAGTGCAAAACTTTTGCAATATTTTCTAAATGTCAATTAAAAACTATAGCAAAATGACGTTCCCTTTCGAGGGAACTCCAACTCAATCGAGGGCGGGGATTTCGGGGACGACTCGCCGCCCCGTGTCCCCGCGTATGAGGAGTTGGTGGAGGTTGTTTCCCGTGCAGTGGCCCATTTAAATATCACATGGCCACAAGATAAGCAGGAAGCGCATACTAAAAGTAAGCTGGATGAGCGCTTCCTGCAGCACAGGGAACAACCTCATCACCGGGGCTTGCCGTTTTTTTACCGCATTCCTCTCGTGTTTCCAATCCCCCTGTGTTAAACTACAGTAACATCATGGGGGCACGAGAGAAAGGTTATGGGATGATGCCGCGGGTTGAACAGCCATTAGCTAACTATTTATCTCCCGAATCGGCATCATCCCTTAAAGCCCCGGTGCTGCCCACTAAGCCATGTCGAGACACATCTTTGCTGGTGGGCAGGGCTTGAGAAAGGTTATGGGATGATGCCGCGGGTTGAACAGCCATTAGCTAACTATTTATCTCCCGAATCGGCATCATCCCTTAAAGCCCCGGTGCTGCCCACTAAGCCATGTCGAGACACATCTTTGCTGGTGGGCAGGGCTTATATGGCTGCGGGTCGGGCTGGTGCGAGTCTTCACACCATGGCTATGCTCCAAGCGTACCAGGCCGGACATCGATGAGGGCGAGGGTCCAACTCCGGAGGATATTGCGGAGTTGAGGAAGGTCGCTGATTTGTCTCTCCGAGTCACCAAGGAGACGGCCCGCGCTGTCGGTCGCTCCATGGCGGCGATGGTGGTCTCGGAGAGGCACCTATGGTTAAACCTGACGGGCATCAAGGAGAAAGACAGGGCTTTCCTTCTTGATGCCCCGATTTCGCCTTCTGGTCTGTTCGGCGACGCCGTTAATACCGTCGTCGACAGATTTCAGGAGGCGAAAAGGCAATCAGCGGCCTTCAAACAATATCTCCCTCGCCGCTCGGTGTCCAAGAAGTCTGTCCCCAGTGGGCAGCCGCAGCCACAGCCATCAGCCAGCTCCTCCGCCTATAGACAGGCTCAAAAACAGAGCGTTGCGTCTAGAGCCCCCCCTCAAGGAGCCTGGGGGCCTAGACAGCGCGCTCAGGCGAAGCCTCAGCAGAAGCAGGGTGACCTGAGGGCCGTCCTGCAGGCTAAAAAGGCTTCGTCTAAGAGGTCCTAGCTGGTCTAGGATCTCTGCGGGCAGCCCCACCCGTGGTGGAACGACTGAGGTCGTCTCCTTCACGGAGCCCGCAGGAAATCGATGTTGCTCTCCCGCCGTTAAACACGCTTCGGGACACATCGGTATCCAGCGAACGCAGGCTGCACTGTCCGCCCCACAGGCTTGCGGTCAGGCAGCATTCGCGTCCGCCCATCGAGAATCGTTTTCGGTTCAGCCCTGCCGGGAATCCGCTTCAGGGGGCCGAGAACGAATCCCGATTAATACCCGAAGCCAGGCTCGAGAGCCTAATTCCCTTGGTAAAATATTTCGATGCATGGAAAAATCTGGCGAATATTTCTCCTTGGGCCCTGCGCACCATTCAAAATGGGTACAGGCTGCAGTTCAGTACCCGCCCACCCAGATTCAACGGGGTGGTCTGGACTGTAGTCGACCCAGTGCAGGGTCGGGTATTGGAACAGGAAGTAAACTCCCTGCTGGCAAAGGAGGCTATAGATCGTATTCCTCCACCGGACAGGGAGTCCGGGTTTTACAGCCGCTACTTCATAGTTCCCAAGAAGGATGGGGGGTTGCGTCCAATAATAGATCTCAGGCACCTGAACCGTTCTCTGAGGAGATTCAGGTTCAAGATGCTCACTATTCCCATTATCGTGAGTCAAATTCAGTCCGAGGATTGGTTTGTCACGATAGATCTAAAGGACGCATACTTCCACATATCCATCCTTCCATCTCACAGGAAGTTCCTGAGGTTCGCTTTCGGGGGCGAAGCGTACCAATATCGGGTTCTTCCGTTCGGCCTAGCTCTCTCCCCTCGCACATTTACCAAATGTATGGATGCAGCTCTGGCACCGCTGAGGCTTCAGGGCATCAGGGTGCTCAATTATATCGACGACTGGCTGATTTTAGCACAGTCACAGGAGCTGGCGGTTCGGCATCGAGATGTCGTCCTCGCCAACATCCAGAGCCTGGGGTTGAGACTCAACACGAAAAAGAGCGTGTTGACACCAGCCCAGAGAACCACGTTCCTGGGAGTGGTGTGGGACTCGGTCACGATGCGGGCACAATTGTCTCCCGCGCGGATCGAGTCCATCCTGACCACAGTGTCCGGGATGAGGCTAGGCCAAGCCATCACTGTAAAGCACTTCCAGAGAGTGTTGGGGCTCATGGCGGCAGCGTCCAGTGTCATTCCATTCGGCCTGCTGCACATGAGGGCCCTTCAGTGGTGGTTAAAAACCAAGGGGTTCTCCCCGAGGGGAAACCCATTCCGCATGATCAGGGTTACGCGCAGATGCCTTCGTTCCCTATCTATGTGGAAGAAAGCTTGGTTTCTGTCCCAAGGGCCGGTGTTGGGAGCGTCATGTCGCCGGAGAACCGTTTCGACAGACGCCTCCCTCACGGGCTGGGGCGCGGTCATGGACGGCCGCTTTCCGTCAGGCCTATGGCAGGACCATCATGCCTCCTGGCACATAAACTGCCTGGAGATGTTGGCGGTGTTCCGAGCCCTGAGGGGCTTCCTGCCGGACCTCAAAGGTCATCATGTCCTTGTGAGGTCAGACAACATGTCGGTAGTGGCCTATATAAACCATCAGGGGGGTCTGAGGTCTCGCCCTCTATGCAGACTGGCGCATCAGATCCTCCTGTGGTCCCAGGGGAAACTGTTGTCTCTAAGAGCAACATACATCCCGGGGAGTCAAAATCAGGGAGCAGACATCCTGTCGAGACAGGGGCTGAGGCCCGGGGAATGGAGGCTCCACCCCGAGGTGGTGGAGTCAATATCTCAGAGGTTCGGCCCAGTGGAAGTGGACTTGTTTGCGTCTCGAGAGACGACCCACTGTCCACTGTGGTTTTCCCTCACCCATCCAGCCCCGCTGGGGTTGGATGCCATGGTGCAGACGTGGCCGAGGCTACGTCTGTACGCATTTCCCCCGATCGCTCTGCTCCCGGGAGTTCTAGAGAGAGTCCGTCGCGACGGGATCAGTCTACTGTTGGTAGCCCCGTTGTGGCCGGCCCGAGTATGGTTCTCCGACATAATTTTGCTCCTGGACGGCCCTCCATGGGAGATTCCCATCAGGAGGGACCTGCTGACACAGGCAGAGGGCTCAATATTTCACCCTCGGCCCGAGTTATGGAAACTGTGGGTCTGGCCCCTGAGGGGGCACAGTACCTAGAGGCCGGCCTATCAGCTGGAGTAGTGGAGACCATACTCAGCTCTAGAGCTCCATCCACGAGGAAATTGTACGGCTTAAAGTGGAACGTCTTCACCGTTTGGTGTAGGGAGCGTGAGGTGGACCCAGTTAACTGCCCAGTGGCTTCAGTGCTGGAGTTCCTCCAAGATCGCTTCTCCACTGGTCTTACCCCGTCCACACTCAAGGTGTACGTGGCTGCCATTGCGGCTTTCCACGCTCCTCTGAGTGATGGGCCTCTGGGGAGACACCAATTGGTCGTAAGTTTCCTCCGTGGGGCTTGGAGGATGAGACCTGCGGCTCGTACCAGGGTTCCCACTTGGGACCTGGCGGTGGTTCTCGAAGGGCTGGCCGAGGCCCCCTTCGAGCCGCTGGAGTCGGCTGAGGCCAAGAACCTTTCGTTGAAGGTGGTCTTTTTGTTGGCCATTACTTCTCTGAGGAGGGTAGGAGATCTCCAGGCGCTCTCCATATCTAACGAGTGCCTGGAGTTTGCTCCAGGCAACATTAAGGCCATTCTTCACCCTAGGCCCGGCTATTTGCCTAAGGTGCCGTCCAGTGCGGCACGGCCTACGGTTCTGCAGGCTTTTCATCCTCCACCTCACGTGACGGCGGATGAAGAGAGACTTCACATGCTCTGCCCTGTCAGAGCACTGAGTATTTACATTCAGAGGTCCTCTTCATGGCGGAAGTCGGACCAGTTGCTGGTGTGTTTCGGGTCGCCCAGGAAGGGGCTTCCCGCCTCAAAGCAGACCATCAGCAACTGGATTGTCCAAGCGATTTCCACGGCCTATCAGGTGCGCGGTATGCCTTCACCTTTGGCCGTGAGGGCTCATTCTACCAGAGGCATGGCGTCCTCTAGAGCCCTTCTCGCGGGGGCCCCCATCCAGGAGGTCTGCGATGCAGCGGGATGGGCTACCCCTCATACCTTTATTAGGTTTTATAGTCTGGACAATCCGTCGACACCCGGCTCTCTTGTGCTCTCGTCCTAAGTGTGCCTGTGAGCAGCTTCACACTAGGGCAGGCAGGGCACGTTGTGGCGTAGTGGGTACCGTATTTTCCGCACTTTACGGCGCACCGGATTATAAGGCGCACCTTCAATGAATGACCTATTTTAGAACATTTTTCATATATAGGGCGCACCGGATTATAAGGCGCATAAGATACTGCAGTCAAACGTTTGACTGGGTTTGCGTTATGCATCCACTAGATGTCAACAAATGTCAACAAAACAGTCAGATAAAGTCAAACTTTATTATGCGTTCTGACAACTCCGTTCACTCCCATGGTAACGTTGTTCAAACGTTAAAGGAAAACTCCGGTCAATTTTAATATTGAGCTCATTTTTTGTAAATTTGGAGAGCTGTCAGTACAGATAACAACGACAAAAACCGGTGTTGCCTACACCGTGTTATCCTCTTTTTAAAATTTGCACCCTGTTGACTTAAACGGGAAAAGTTTTAAACCTGCTTTTAGCCTCTTAACAACCTTAATGTGTCATTACAAGTGCACAGCCATGTGAGTGAACACGGTGAATCTGACTCCAGTAAATGTGAAAGATATGAATAAAAATTATGTTTATTCAGCCAGCTCACATACCCGTATTTTCTTCCTGTTTTCGGTCGAAGTCCACAGTAGGCGATTGTCGAGTGCGCGCGCGCGATCATTGGTAACTAAGCAACAGTGGAGACTCAGACTGTCAGCTGTCAGCCGATGACGGTGCTGTGTGGTGTTATGAGAATATCAGCTCAAATGGATAGTTCATCCGAATCAGATGTTGAACACACGGAGGAGGTTTGATCGCGCGCGCGAACTCGACAATCAACTACTGTGGACTTCGGCCGAAAACAGGAAGTAAATACGGGTATGTGAGCTGGCTGAATAAAGAGATTATTCCTGCCTTCGTGAAAGCTCGGATCAGAGTTGAGACTGATATTTCAGCCCAGGCATCCACGATCCATTGGCAGATAGTGGCGTAAGTCGCCCGGCGCTGTCTCCCCGTCTTGGTGAACGTGTGTTCACCATCCATATATAAGGCGCCCCGGATTATAAGGCGCACTGTCGTTTTTTGAGAAAATTAAAGGCTTTTAAGTGCGCCTTATAGTGCGGAAAATACGGTACTCGTTCCCCCAAAGTGTCATTCGACGCAGTTGGAGTTCCCTCGAAAGGGAACGTCCTCGGGTTACGACTGTAACCCTTGTTCCATGAGAAGGGAACGAGAACTGCGTCCCTTGGCCACGCCTTCCCCTGCCTGGGAGCGCTTGCTTCATCACGGAAGCTGACATTTTGTTTTGCCGGCGTGCCTTTATAGTTCCGCCTGTGTGTCGTCACACACTACGTCATGACGTTGCACCAATCGGAGATCGGCTCAGTTTCATTCATGCTTCAGAGGCGCTACGCTGAGGGGCGTTCCCCCAAAGTGTCATTCGACGCAGTTCTCGTTCCCTTCTCAGGGAACAAGGGTTACAGTCGTAACCTGAGGACGTTTCCATTAACCGATTTTATGCGACTAAAACGACATTTTTAGCACATTAAGTCAATTTTACGTCATTCCAAAAATCATGGCGATGGATGTTGTTAGTTTTCTTTGTGGAACGCAAACATTTTGTAAGCGAACGCACATTTTCACGGGGCAACGCAAAAGTTTTGTTAGCTAACGCAAAGTTTCTTTGTAGAATGCAAAAGTTTTGCAAGAGTTTCTCTGGGCATGCTAAAGTTTGCAAAACATTCTGTAAGTGAATGCAAATTTCCGCAGCGTGTGAAATACTTTTACTAGAGAATGTAACATGTTGGAAAAAGAACATGAAATATAATTTTGTCCTCCCATCTCCTATTTTCCCGTTCCCTTAGCAACAGGCTAATGTTGCTGTGAGCTGTTCTTGCGTGCGCGGTGTAAACATCTGTGCAGGGTGTTCCCGAGGTGTCCGTCGAGTGAACCGGCTTGCCTTAAAGGAGCTTTTGTTGACAATTTTACACTCTACGTCCATCAAACGGTCCTTCAAACGTCGTGCTGGGATTGACTGGCACTTTTAATAACCCGAGACATGTCTGAGGTTCATCGGATACGGCTAGCAAACAACGCCTGCTGAATTAGCGCTGTCACTCGCATCCTCACGCTCTCTGTCCTGTCTGTCGTGTCAGGAAAGATGTGGAGATCAGCAGCGTCAGCAGCCGTCTAGAGGAGGAGGAGGACCTGAACGCGGGCCTGCAGACGAGGAATAAGGAGATCCAGGTGAGCGAGAGCATTCCTGTCTGTCAGCGCTGGGGGTCCGGCTCCGAGAGCACACACACACACACACACGAGCTGATAACATCTCTCAGGAGAGGAGGGAACGGCTGTAACCTCACACTCCTTCTTTAACCAGAGGGTGCTCTTCAGAAATGACACACACAAAAAATGAACTATTTTAGTTTTTCATTTAATATTTTGTATTTTTTAAGGGGATTTTATGGTGCTAAATTATATTTACGCTGTATTTATAATCCATTTATTCACTTTTTGAGCATAGACCTGAAAATGTATTTCCAGCTTAAACTGTGGAGAATCTTTGAACGCTTTAGAGCGACAGACTGAAGTTTGATGTCTTCTCAATGACGACACTCGGCAGATTATTGCTGGAGTGAGAAGTTTTAAAAAGTGAACTTAAAAAAAGTTTTACGTTTATTGTTATGAAAAATGTAAATACTATTTTAAATTTTTATATGAAATATAAATTTTCAAAAACATGTTTTACTCTAAAACTGCGAGAAAATCAAAGCCATAAATCTAAACAAGTTGTGTTCAAAATTTAAGTCTGATCTCTGAGTAAAGGAGCGTTCAGTGAGAGTGTGTTCGGCTGCAGTTCCACACGCTTCCACTAGAGGAAACTCTACATTCATTTCCAATGCGTCATTCCTGACCGCGAGCAGCACAAGTGTGTGTGACTGTTGCTTCAGGACCATTTCACCTGTTCAGATCATGTCCATGATGTGTGTGTGTGTTCATACAGCAAGTGCCAAAGCCTTTACCAAGTTTCATACCATTCTGATTAAGAAAAAACTAAACAAACGTAACATTTTTCCGAAGAGCAGCAGAAACCGGTCTGGTTTCAGGCTCAGATAATGACAGCAGAGTGATGTATTGGACCAGAGAGAGAGAGCTATGTCATGTTAAAGCAGTGTTGGTTTAACCTCTGTCACTCGTCTTCATGTCAGGAGGGTGTTCCTCAGGGAACGCAAAAGGTTTGCAAATAAACGCAAGAACGCACAAGTCTTGTAAGCGAATGCAAGATTTTCTTTGAGCGAACGCAAATGTTGAAAGTAAAGTTTCTCTGGGAACGAAAATCCAAGTTTGCTAAAATGTTGTGAGCAAATGCACAGTTTGTTGAAGCTGTTGAAAAGCAGTGTTAGTTTAACCTCTGTCATGTCCGTCGCTGTGACATCATCTCCAGATTAAAATATTAATGCACTGGTAACACTTTACAAAAAAAAAAAAAAAAAATGTTAATATGATTTTCAACATTTACTAATACGTTATTAAAATCAAAGGTTGTATTAGTTAACATTAGTTACTGCACTGTGAACTAACATGAACAAACAATGAACAGCTGGATTATTATTAACTAACATTAACTAAGATTAATAAATACTGTAACAAATGTATTGCTCATGTTAGTTCATGTTAGTTAATACATTACCAGATGAACCTTATTGGAAAGTGTGACCAGTGCGGTTCGGCTTGTCGGAGTCAGTGTTGGGAGGAGACGGAGAACAATGCAGATTTATCTTTTGCAACAGATTAATTTCTTATATAATGGAATGCATTTATTCATAGTCATTGCATATACAGGTGAAACTCGAAAAATTAGAATATCGTGCAAAAGTTCATTTATTTCAGTAATTCAATTAAACTTAAAAGGTGAAACTAATATATTATATAGACTCATTACATGCAAAGTGAGATATTTCAAGCCTTTATTTGTTATAATTGTGATGATTATGGCTCTTATGAAAACCCCAAATTCAAAATTAGAATATTGTGAAAAGATTTTCATAAGCTGTAAGCCATAATCATCAACATTATAACAAATAAAGGCTTGAAATATCTCACTTTGCATGTAATGAGTCTATATAATATATTAGTTTCACCTTTTAAGTTGAATTACTGAAATAAATGAACTTTTGCACCATATTCTAATTTTTCGAGTTTCACCTGTAGAAGTCATATTCTCGTTGTGTTGCTGAGGCTGAAGGCTTGAGATGGACGAGACGAGAGACTCGTAACCCTGGAGAACACAGACGCTCTTTGTCTCTGCTGTAGTGAAGCTGAAAGAGGATCTGTGTGTCGTGAGGGGGAGAGAGTGTGTGTGTGTGTGTGTGTGTCGTGAGGGGGAGAGAGTGTGTGTGTGTGTGTGTGTGTGTGTGTGTGGGTGTGGGTGTGGGTGTGTCGTGAGGGGGAGAGTGTGTGTGTGTGTGTGTGTGTGTGTGTGGGTGTGGGTGTGTCGTGAGGGGGACATGTGTTCACTTCCACCGGATCACACAAAGCATGCTTTATAACTCTCTGAACATTAATAACAGCACAGGTGGAGGCCGAGAGCGAAGTGTTGTGCTGGTCAAAGAGAAAGATCATCTTAATGGGAGGAAGATATTAAGTGATAATGAGTTAGTGATATTAATTGATGTTCCCCTTTTAAGTTAAAGGTACAGTCTGTAAGTTTTAAAACAATAACAAAGACGAAGCTTGATGATGCTAT